ATTAACTAGTGGTAAAATGTAAACCATTGAATTAAGAATTTTAGAAGGTAGGAATGATCTATTTATGAAAAAAAATATAGATAAATTATTGCAATGTATATGCATATTATTAGTGGAATAAGATATAATGTATAAATAATAAATTTATATAAATTTTAATAGTATAATGTCAAACCTTTTAGCTAATAAAATATACTACGTTAAGAAAGGAATTAAATAATTCACAAACAAGATGATGAGTATATAAAAATGAATAAGAGAAGAGCAATTAAGTTGATTAAAGGGAATCAAATATAGTAATTAGGAAAAAAACGAGCACACACATGAGCGCGCGCCAATGTATATATATTGAAGTGGCCGAACCTTAAAGAGTTAAATAGTAATAGCTAGCCATCATTTAAATGAAGGTGGCTACTCTTATTTCTAAATTATGATAACAATGTTGATTTTCTTATGAACCAAATATGTTTGATGATTGTTTAGATAGAGTTATATTGCATATGTAATTATAATTTAACTAAACTATTATCTTTACTGATCATAACAAAATGTATCCTATATCTCACAACTTATTCATATGTATTTATTACAAATAAAAATTATAATAGAATGACATTAAATTATATGAAGGATGTGAATAAAATAAATTATATAATATACTTACATGTGCATGATTGACTTATGGAGTTCAACCCCTTACTGTACTAATTGGGGGTACTAAGGTAATCGTAGATGTAAACTATAAAAAATATTGATATTGATACATATTAATTAATATAACTTTTTATGATACTCTCGTGATGAGTGTAAATGATATAAATAAGATAAGATATTGTATTGTATGATATAATGCTTTGAACCTTCTTGAATAAGCATAATTGAATAATAAATTAATATTATACTTGTTCATTATGTTTCACCAACATGCATGTTATTTAATTGTATGTTAAATTATTTTAATTTAGAAGTATGTGTATTCATTAGTTTTTTTTATAACTCACCATATTTTAAATTAACATTGTAAGTGTAAACCATGAGCTAAAAAATAAGAGCAATGGTAGGATAAGTATATAAAAGATGCAACCAAGCTAATAAAACATAATTTTATTCATGATTATTGACATTCAAGTTGATTTCAATTTTATTTTGTTAGTGGCTCTTTCGATTATTAGTAACTACTTTTTATTAGATTGTGATAGAAAATTAATTGTCATCATCTGAACATCTAATCTTGCCTTAATAATAGCCTGAGTCATAACAAAAAAAGCATCAAAGATAAAGGGAATCAAAAAATCATTAGTATATTTAACCAAAAACTTTAATATGAAGTTTTGGAGTAGTGTAATAGATCATATAATCATAAAATTAACTAAATATGCATATTTTAAGGATTAAAGTTTTGTAAGTTGGAAAGATCGTAATGTTCCCTATGACTAAAACAAGCTAGCACTAGTTCAACTAGACCAGTGTTCATGACATTACATAATTGAAAAGAAGATGGAGAGACGATGAGGGATGGGAAACAAAAATATACAATCAGATCCCACGAGAATAAGAAGCGAGGGAAGAGAGACTGCTCGTGTGAAATAAGGAGTGATAAAGGGCGAAGTCAAAGAAGGCGAGCTTTCTGCACAATCTTGACTGAAGTCAGAGCAATGGTGATGCGAAAGTGAGCCGTGAACAGAGATCGAACGTGCAAACAAAAGAAACAAAGAATAGAGGGTGAGAAAGTAGTGAGGGGAAGAATCAATGAGAATGAAAGCAGGATCGTGCGACGTGAGGGCTTGAGTGACAAGTTTGAGTCGCGCAAGCAAATGAGAAATGGGCAAGCATAGAATGCAAGCAAGTTAGCGATGAGGGCTTGATCTGATTGCATACAAAATGAAGATGCAGGCTCAAGCGCGAGCGAGCATTGAGTGCAAGTGCACGGGATCACCGACGAAGATGAGAATGAGCACGTAAGTGAAAGAGAGAGAAAAACATTGAAGTATGATTAAACAAAGCTAGGCAATTTAACAGAATTTCATAAATTAAATTTAATTTAATTGTAGCTAGTTAATATTTTGAATATGGATCTAAGATATAACGAAGTTACTAAAAAATTTAATTAATAAAATTTAAGTATTACGATAAAATAAATTTTAATAAGATATATCCATAATAAAAATTAAATTTTGCTAAAATATAACATATTTAATAAAGAATTTTTAGTAATGATCTATTTATAAAAGAAATATATATAAATTAATGCAACGTATATGCATATATATTGATGGAATAAGGCATTAGTATAATGTCAAATCTTATAAGTTAAAAATAATACTATGTTGAAAAAGAAATTAAATATTTCAAAAACAAAATGGAAAATATATATACACACCAGATAGATAGATATATATATATATATATATATATATATATA